AGACAATGAAAGTGTTGAATAGAAACTTTAGCAAGTGGTGGAGGGGCCTGAGCAGAGGCTAAGGCTGCACCACAGCAGAGCTGGGCTGGCTGAGGGCACCCCTTGGGCTGGTGCACCCACCTGCACCCCTTGGGCTGGTGCACCCACCTGCACCCCTTCCTCTAGGGGGGCTGTGTCCAGGAAGGCAGTTTGACAAGGCACATCTGCTGTGGGGGAGCCACAGGTACAGCTTTTCCAACAGCACCTTTGCTTCAATAGTTGTACAAAGACTTTTGAGCTCATTTTGTCTTTTTTTGCCTCAGTTTCTGTGGGTTCTCACTGGGTGGGAGCTGAGAGCCTTACTGCTCTGGTGCATCCAGTCTCCAGCCCTCCTGCCAGCAGAGCTTGAATGCTTAATTAGTGTGAGAATGAAGACTAGACTGAAGGTAGCAGAGTCTTCCAGGCTTTCCTTTCTGGGGGAAACCATTTTTCAGTGATAATCATCACAGCATCCTCCTTACCATTGTGATCCATCCTTCCAAACCCACTCCAGCCAAGAAACCTGCACAGGGAAGGGAAACAAGCTGTGGAAAAAGGGCAGACAAGTGCCCCAGACAGCCAAGAGTTTGCTTCCCTTCTTTGTGATGAAACCTGCACAGGGAGGGGAAACAAGCTGTGGAAAAAGGGCAAAGTGCCCTGGACAGCCAAGAGTTTGCTTCCCTTCTTTGTGAGTTTGGCCTGAGGAATGGTCTGATCTGTTTGCTGCAGCCAGAAATGCTTCCTTCTGTCATCATCAGCACAGGCCTGGACACCTGGAGGAGCTATGGGCTGCAGTGCTGTCAGGTGTCAGCTTTTAGGACTGCTGAGGTCCATGTGTTGTCATAAATGCACGATGTGGGGCTTCTGTTCAATTTCCTTGTTGTATTTAGAGGGACACAGATATTTCACTTCTCTGCACATTTTTGAGATGTGTTACTGGTCTGTTGCAAAGAGGAGGGTGGGATGTACAGACACCAGCAGCTGTGGACACCTCATAGTGCCCAGGAGCATCCAAACATGGTAGGGAATGAGAGGTCCTGCAGTTTAAAGAAGCGAGGGTGGTAGCAGCAAGGAAGATGAGATTTGCCCAAGGTCGTAGAGCAGGACAGTGGCAGAACTTGTGGTGGAAAAATGCTGAGTGGCTTTTTATATTTATAGCTGGCAGTTTAGGGCTACAGGGAGATCCATGTTGGAGTTGAGTGGCTGGGCAGAATGCAGCTACCTTTGCAAAAGCTGGTCTCTGGAGAGAGAGCCTGGAAGGTGCATGTGGTGCCTGCAGGACGCTGCGAGATAAAGAGTCTGTTGGGTTTAAACTCCTGGGTTGTTTTTTTGCTTTTGCTTGTTTGTTTGGGATTTTTGTCTTTTCAAGCTCTGGGTTTCAGTTCTGTTTATAAAATGTTGCCATCCTTCAGTGTCTTAATGCTGCCAGGTTGGTTGTTGGGGGCTTTTTTGTTTTATTGTTATAATTTTCAAACTGCTGTGTCACCTCATTCATCAGCCTTCAGCCTTCCCTCCTTCTCCCCACCACCCCTGCAAGAGCATTTGTACAGAACAAAGACTTGCTTTTAAAACCGGCGTGATATTTTGCCACCTTTGTGAAAACCTGTCACAACAATCTCTAATTTTGCATGAGACAGAATTTCAAATCAAGCCTCCAGGAAAGGGAGGCTGCTCTTCTGCGGATGCGCAACCGTCGCTTTTATTTCCCCCCGCAGCTGTGGAGTCAGTGACCCACCCAGCAGTGGTTCAGAGAGGGGGAAATCTAATTCCTCTGCTCTTCTCAGGTCTGACCTTCTCAAGAAGACCCCCAGCAAACGTCGCCTCGCCGAGATCCTGCGATCTGAATATTCCAGTGGGATGGACACTGGTGTATCCAAGGTCAAGAAGAAGAAGAAAAGGCAGAGAAAACCTGGCAACCAGCAGATTCCAACATAAGCCAGGACCTTCCAGTCAGTCATTGGCTGCAAAACCTGCTGGAGTTCCTCAGCTGGGGGTCAGGGTGACCTGCCAAATCAACTGAGGAGTGTTTCCATTTATCAGGCAAATATGGGAGGGATCTTGGGGATCTTGGCCTCCTCCCCCTCATTCCATAGGTCCAAATGGAGTTGAATCCAGGCGGGTCCTGCTGCAATGAAATGCAGCTCCTGGAGATGCACCATGTTTCTGAGGTGGTTTTTTGCAAGAAAAATAAAAAAGGTTCGAACTGATTTTCAAAGAAATGTGATGTCTGTGTAACATGCAGGTGAAACAAGGGTGTTCAGGAGGTGCTTTCCTGTTTAAAAAACTGTAAAAACACTCCACAATCTGTTTGACTGCTCATTTTTAACCAGATGAGCAGGAGTGGCAGAGGAGGTGACACAGGAGCACGTTTAAGAGGAGTGGAGGGGCTGTCCTCTCCCCTGTCATTACACAGGGGGACACTTCTGCTCCTATCTCAGGTAACTCAGCCACCTTGCTGCCACCTCCTTCCTGTCCTTGGCTCACTGGGCAAGGTCTGCCCCTGGACACAGATCATGAGTCAGATATTGCCACCTAGAAGGAGTCCTCCCCAATTTCAGTGCAAGTGGTGGGATTGTGAAGAGCTCTTCAGTGTAATGACACCAGGTCCCTTTGGGGCAGAGCTCAGGGGCACAAAACTTCATGTCAAAACTCCTGAGGTTGGGAATGAACATTGTCACTGTGGGAAGGAGCCACTGTGGAATCCAGCAATCTCCAAAGTTCTCCTTGCCTGCAGCGTGTTGTCACACCTCATTACAGAGCAGAGTGTGTGTGAGTTGTCTCCCCTCTCTGAACATAAAAGCCTTTGCAAGCTCTTGCTAACACTGGCCAGGAGTAACTGTGGCTTTTGGGGTTCTCTCTGCTTTGGCTGGGGCCTTTTCTTAGTGCATCCCAAACTGAGGAATTTCACTTCATGCTTTTCCCATTTGCCTTTTTTCTTGTTCTTAAGTATCACCAGAGAACAGGGGCTGCTGAGAAAAGAGCTGGTCCAAATGTGCCAAGGCTGGCACTTGTGCCCCAGTGCCCAGTGTGGGAAACACACCCTGAGCCCTAGTGAAGACTGTGACAAAGCTCCCCTTGGAGCTGGTGGGGTGTGGGGGAGGCCTGGGGGAGCCTGACAAACCCCTGGGACCTACAGCTGAGCACCCACCTTCCCCTCCCTGTCTTCCTTGCTGTGCTTCTTTTAGCACCTCCTAGAAGTGCCAAGCAGTTCACATTGGAAAGCAGTGCACGAGCTTTGCTGCCTGCATGTGTCTTCCTCCAGGGAAGAGCTGAGGAAGAGCAGGCCACCCCTGACCCAAGCTGGGCATGTTGTTTAACACAGGACCAGAAAGTGCTCAAATCCAGTAGCAATTTTGGGTGTCAGAAGGAAAAAAAGTACTGCAAAGGGAGTATAACCAGCTGAAAATGATCCCTGCTTTGTGAATGCAGAATTGAGGGCACCTACTTTGGGCTGTAGTGAGTCATACCAAGGACTGTAGGAGAGAAGCAATCAGCCCAAAAGTATTTAATTTCTGAAGGGAATGGAACTTTTGAGAACCAAAATTATTTTCTTGTTCCTCCCAGGCAATTACTGAACATGCTGATTTTACTGCCACACTTTTTTTGGACACTTGAGAAAGATGTTAAAAAGGCTCCAGTGTAAAATTAACCAATATTTTTTTGCAAAGAGAATTAAGTTACTAGCATTTATTAGGTTAAGATAAAATAACAACAAAGCCCACCTGATTTTTTTTTTATGAGTGCTGTTTGGAAGAGCAATCAGGCTTAAGGCAAATGTCAGCTTCAACAGCAAAGAAACCCCTGGGGTTGGAAATGACTCAGAGAGGGTGATGCAGAGAGAGTAAGTTTGGGAAGGACTGATTTTGTGCATGAGGGGAAAATATGTGCCCTTCTCCTGGCTGATTGTCATGTATGAATTAATAGGAACTATTGGCAAATTCATAATAGTGGGAATAAAGGGCAACAGCTCATGGGTGAGAAGCATCAGGAAATCTCATTGCTCTCTGTATTAACTGGGCTACAAGCAGGGTGAATAAAGGGATTTTTTTAAAGGGGGGGAAAGGCTCTTTCTTTCAGCTTCACCACCCTTCAGCAGATAGTGCTGGGTTACTTGTGTGGTTGGGAAAAGGAAGAGGGGAAGATTGTTAAATAAGAGAGTGTTAAATGCACACACACCTGAAGCTAAGCTGCATCAGCTCTTGATAAACTTGAAGGCTGTTGCGCAAAATGTGTTTGAATTGTATCTGGATCAGCAG